CTGGCTGGTCGGCATTCCTTACCTAGTGGCTTAATGCCGCTAAGCTAGTACTACAGTAACTGGAAGGTAGGCCTTTAAGATCCATGCCGAAGCCGTTCAGCTTGGCGCTTGTACGTATTTCAAGAAAGGTATGGAGCACTACGTCGAGCTGCACGTCTCCAAAGAAAAGAAGCTCCGAAGAAGCTGGATGTCTATGGCTGAGTTACAATCGGAATAGTAGGGGGGATGTCAAAAGTGTACTCGAGGATTTGCATCCTTGCAGATGAAAGAGCTTGAGTCTGTGCTTTGAGATATTGTCCATTGACTGCTGCACACGGGAACCACTAGGTGCGTGAAACAAAGCATGTCAAGAAACGCGGGGCCGGACGACCCAAGTCAAAGAGACTTCCGTCACCGATACCTGACAATACCCAACCCTCTACATCCATTACTGCAAGAAGCTGCAATGCTGGCCCAAAGACGCGTAACTATTTTCATGAAGCCTGTAGCCTAAGTCTTGCACCCCCGTCACTCAAAATGCCAAGAAATGGAGAGACTCCCATCGAACGAAGCCTACGTAAGACTTTAGGTCAATCTCTGCTTAAGCCTTAAGCCATGATCATCCTGGCCTGAATTCTAACACCCACCTTTTTACCCCAAACCCTCAAGCGAAATCCATGAACAGGCACTAATCCTGCGACCTTAAACTCTAAACATGTACACCTAATCCTTTACTTTCTACGCTCACTGGCTCTGCTCACCAGCCCTTGCCCCCTTTCCAGCCTGGAAACAGCATCAGCTTATTGGTTCGTGGTAGGTAGAAAATGAAGGAATCTCACCCTTATTTAATCCATATTCCCTTGATCCCTACTCATAACCAACAGGGACTATACAGGGATTCTTTACGTCAGGTCTTGAAATTCTTCTGGGCTTTGGCTTCAGGGCCCCGCTTTCCACAGTCGCTGCAGCAGCTAGAAGATGATCGGAACAAAGTGCCTAAAACACCAATACAGTGAGAATGGCGCAAGCCCAGAAGCAGGGTCCGATTGAAGAATGGTGGGAGGGAGCATTGGAACCCACAGGGCATTGTCCCGCAGAAACAGAAGATTTGCACACTGCCTTGACAAGACTGAAGCCAAATTCTTCAAATAGACTTCGCATCCTGCCGTACACTCGTAGTCCGCCTGCAGGGTGGCTTGATATGCCTACGGCCACCATCACTGAGTGAGAAGCCCTGGGCCGAAAAGCTGAAATCCAAAGCCTGCATGCATCGTATCATCCTGCGTGAACCTGGACACAAAGACCCCATTCACCGTAAAGCAGACATCTACTGACACAAGAACACCCACCTCCTTTGAAGCCGCCTTTTCCTCCTGGTTCAAGTTCTAAGTCTTGGCTTACCGTCAAGTCAAGGGCTTCTGGCATCGAAGTTGAAGAGACATGGTTGCAGAATTGTGGCTTTAATGTTCAAGAAGGGCAGCGGGAGGTATCTGCTGGAATACAGGCTCAACAAAGACCCAGTCAACGGGAAATGGCCTTTAAGTATCTTGCATGCGCACTGATTTATTCTTGACTGTCCAAGCCCCTTGGGACTTGAGCATCAAGGAATTCGGCGACCATTTGGATGTTTTGCAATCTGGTGTTGAGGACCACGGCTTGAAAGATTTGGAACAGAAGCACAGACCCACCAGCAGCGCACGATTCTCACAGCTTCCCTGGTTTAGCTAGGCTGCGGCTTCAGACGCTTCAAACGCTGAATCCGACTCTTTGCTTTACAAGCCTCCAGGGCAGGCCTGCTTGCCTGCTGGAGATTACGGGTACCTCTTTTGAGGATGGCGGGCTATGAAAATGGTTCTGAAACGTCCTCCATAGGAAATCACTGCTCAATGTTAAATTAGCGGCAAGGAAGCTGAAGCCCTGGGACACTACGACGGGGGGCCCGGCTTTGAGACAAAGAGCCAAAACCGGACCAAATGTACATTCCATAACGGAATTGTCTTAGCCAAGTGTTCCTCGCAATTTCGAGACCAGAGGTATGAGAAGTGATGGCATGTTTACGAGCATTGCAGCATGAGGCTGCTTCCAACTGTTTTCCGGGGTGTCACGTGTTTGGACGTTGCGACTGTCAGGATGAAAGTTGCATCGGAATGTTGAGGTTTAGCTCCTGCACTTCTAGTGGGCCCTTCCAACCAACACCTCCCAGGCAAAAACCCTCCACGGAGAGAGAGAAGCATGACAATTTGCAGAAATCATGGGTTCACTAGGTGCTACGCATCAAGAACACTCCAACATGAAATGTCTGAAAGCGGGCCTCCTTTCATTCCTTTGCCTGGTCGCACGGTTGGGGGGGCGGTTGTTGGGATGAAAAAGTACTGCGGATTGGAAGGAATCTTGTACAAGAGCATAACAAAGCCTGACGCCCGCGGGTACAACAATTCAAATCCTGATGTCGCTAGCATACTTGTCAGAATCGACAGGCCACATGCCATGTACGTACGTGCACATGCATGCATATGTGTATGCATGTGTAACTTACATGTACTCGAGATTTGATGTAATAATCCCCGCAAACTACCGTCATTCCCCCTCTCAACCCTAAAAACTCTACAAACACCGAAACCCTCAGGCTTATTTGCTGCCTGGGCTTGGTGCGCAGGCTAACAACAATTTAGGAAGTTTTTGCCGCGTGGGGCTGTGTGTGGCTTTGGCAGTGGGGCTCTAGGGTTTAGGGCTGTATGCTCTCCGCGTTCAAAAACCCTTGCAAGCATCCCTTAAGTCCCTTAGACTGGAACCTTAACCAGCAGCCCCAAAGCCACAAGCGTGCGCTTGCTAAGATGAACATCCCGAAGAAGAAGTACAATAGCACTACCACTGACAACGATACCATACACATGGCAATGCCAAAACTGGAAGAAACCGCGCCTGGCATCTTGGGCATTAGCCGCGAGGCGGGGCCGCGTTGTTCGGCCTTGGCCACACTCGCATCAGCAATGAGTTCTGTGATGAAGAAAAAGACATGCCTCAGGGTCGTTTCAGAAGCCCTTTATAGCAGATCCCCGTTTCTAATCCATCACAAAACTCGCATCCGAGGTCGCGACGCCCTCTGCAGACCATGAGGCGGCACGCTTGAGCCCCTGGGAAGGCTCAAGGTTTCTGGACTGGGGGTTGAGGTTTAACAAAATCCAGCTTCTGGGGTAGGACTTGTGGCTTTCAGCGTCTGGGGTATTTGGGTCTAGGGCTTGGGATTTAGGATTCGGAGTTCAGCCCAAATTTCAAAGTTTTCAGGAAGCTAGGCTGGGCTAGGACATCTATAGAGGGATCGGGGCTCCCACGCCTTCGCTAGATGCCCCCCAGCAGCTCAGCTCCTGAAGCCTGAAGCCCTGCAGAATTCAGGTCTACGTCGTCTGAAGTCCAGGCAATGCCGCCCCCCGCACCCCGAATCCTGAGACGGCTAGACTTCCAGACTCGTACACAGTAAGAAAACTCTTATCACCCTGAACACCGCTGCAGACTTGGACAGCTGTCTTGCACGTTGCCCACCCGAACCAAGGCCCCCGCCTTGGAGGCACAAAAAGCAAATGGATGAACCCCAACATGGTGTTGAGAGTGCTTGGCACAAACAGGATTGAAATTCTGCCGCATTGACGCCTTGAAGGCTTCCCACAGAAACGCTGGCAATTGCAACTTCTTGGGGTATTGCTGCAGCTGTCAAAGTCCTAAATACACTCTATCACGACAATGATTCGCAGATCCCTGGATGGGGGGAGTTCAAGAGATCGCGTGACGTGGATTGAGGTCGCAGCACCGTTCTGCCCACCTGTCGGCACAAGAAAATATTGCATGGGCGGATTCAACTTGCAGAGTTTTGTGCTCATGAAGATGGGTTTGCAAGACCAGGATACGAGGGACAGCAGGTTGCAATTCAATATATCCGTTTTGTCTTTCCGCCATTGGGTAAGACACTTGCAGCTACAAGTACTAAGTTTGTCATACCAAGTTACGTAGCATCAAGTCAAAGGTCCGGAAATTAGATTGTATAGGGGTAGAACCTTGATTTCTGTTGGCTCATTGGTGACTAACCTGCGTTCGTCCAGGCTTCAACACGGCGTACAACAACTGTCTATATGAGCCCAGCCCAGAAAATGCACCCAGAAACATCCTTTATATCCTGTCTGCTGATCTGGTCCTCGCAAAATGAGATCTGGCATACCTGAACAAACCGTTCCACACCATTACCTCGTGCTGAGATGGAGTAGGGGACGGCTGGTGCAGGGGCAATCTAAACACGGCAACAATGGATGTTTCTCGACATTCAGGGTGCCTTCTAAAGGGGAACATCTTTGAGAACACCCCACCCAGCACTTATGGTTGCAAAAACAAGCTACACTTGAACAAGAAGCGACACAACTAAGTCTGCCGTCTTGCAGTCCTAGAATTTCCGAGGGCCTTCCTGAGGTCACATCTATACAAAAATGTAAGCCAGCAATGGGAAACTGAAATCACCCAAAACCAATAAGGGCGAAAAGGCGACTTAGCATTCATATGCCTCGCAAATAAGGTAAGAACATCAGCAGCATGCCTGGTTGCTCGCTCAGAAGTGATGCAACCTTGGCTTTGTGTCTATCTGCCCTCCTTGTCTGTCTTTAACACTCTCGCTAGCAATCCACATGAAGGTTTCTCTGCCCAGCATCTTTGCTTGCCTCTACCAGCCTGTCCACCTGTCTGTCTATCCATGCACTGTTTCGCTCGATGTATTTCTCCTCTCTCGTTTCACGGAGCAGCTTGCTGTGCAGAATTTAGGACACTGCCACGAAAGTACGAATCCCTCTGTTAGCGCTTTTAGAATAGTGGCATTGATCCTCCTCTGCCAGCTAGTAGTCTCTAGTACACACCTATAGGATCCAACAATGCAGCAAACAAAGAGTCAACCGGCTGTTGCTTCAGAGGGAGGCTCTGATACGGGGGAATTATAAAGGGCCAGGACATGCCTGAACATCTGCGACTGGCATCAGGCGAGGCACCTGGTCCAGGAAGGCCATTGTCTGCGCGTTGGGTATGTGGTCCGGATTGGCACCTCGGACAACTTTGGGACTGAAATGATGGGCCCATCATAGCTGGCTGAACTGTGTAAATCAAGAAATCGGCGCCATCTCGAATACTCTGAACCCTGTCCTGGACCAGGGTGTGCTCTGTCAACAGGAACAGGTTGCACAGCACATCTTCTATCCCTTGAGAAACCATGTCTCCGGCCCAGATGCATGAGGTTTAATAGCGCAAGCGAGGGTTCAGAGGACAAAAGCTGTAATGCTTCTTCGCCACAATGACCCTCATGGAACACGCAGCTGAGCCTTTACAAGTAATTAGCAAGTTCCTTCATGAAGGTAGACCATCGTTCATATAAGAGATGGTTGGCCCGAGCTTTGTGGCCTGGACCCTTAGATAGCCTTTGCACACTGCCAACCCTCATCCCTAAGAGCCCACACCAAAATACACTGGAATCTGGCTGTTAGACAATCAACTTCATGGTCCCCATAAGGCGGGAGACCTGAAACAAAGGCTTTCCTCACTGTTTTTCGTGTGAAAATTACTTAGCTGTCTTTAGGACCCACCCTAAAAGTTAAACTTTTAGCCTCCTTAATATAGAAAGTAGGAAGCCCAAAAAGTTAAAGTCCTAACAGCCAGGCAGAAGACAGCCAAGATTATAGTCCAGTCCCGCATCCTGTCGCTATCCTTATTGCGCTATCCTTAATGCGAGCGAAACTAAATCCTAAGCCTCAATACTGCCACACCCAGGCGCAGAAGTTCTGAAACGCCGACTGCAGCGAGGCACGTACTCGCTGGACCTGCTTCGAGGCGTTGGGGTGCAAGGTTTGAGGCCTGGGGGCTTCGAAGGGGGCTAGGCTTAGAAGAAAGTAGGGCTGAGGGTAATAAGTGCACATTACAGCATGAAGACACCTCAAATAAGAGTTGTCAGTCCCGCAGAGTCTTGCAGTGTTGTCTCGTCTGCGCAGACATAGATGTGTTCGAGGACCCGCGGGAGCTCGAGCCTTGACTGCAGAGAGGAGCGCACCGTGACGGCAAGGCTCGCAAAGCCCGGTTCTACCCGCAAGTTGCATTTAGACTTGCTCCCTCGCTCATTGATGCTGGTGCAGTCTGTCAGGTGGAGAGCGTCAGCCTTAATTAGTCTTCAACATGACCCCGTAACGCTAAACCTCCAGAATCCCGGCCCTGCAACATGACAAAGGTCAAGGTTGCATGCGCCGCTACACCTCCAACACCTCGAAGAGGTACAAATTAGCTCATCCCAGGCCGCGAACTCCAAACCCCGAATCCCGAACAATGAAGATAAGAGCATTCATGGTCACAACAGACTTATGGCTTGATGGGTTGATAGGGTTACTCCGGCGTCTCATGAAGCATCATGAAGTATCTTTCTGCTTCTCTGCCCCAGACTCTCCTCCCCATCATCCATTCATCTTAGATCCCGCTAGCCGTCCATCTATGTGATATCCCGGAGGGATCGTATCTATGTGATATCCCGGAGGGATCGTACAATCCAGCCCTCAATTGGGCATAGACTATTGCTGAATTGTTCAAGGCCAAGGTGCTCTCATTAGTTGGATCCTTAACAACGAACCCCAAGAAGCGAACCTGCAACTCCAAGCCTAAGTTACGAAGCCCCAAGCCTCAGACCCGAGCCTGCACCACGGAATTTACAGCCCACCAAAGCAGAACAGGTAGCCCAAACCACAACTTCATCTAAATTTAGAGCGGCTGCCTGGCTCGCTGTACCCTCGTCGGCTTGGAACTTGACCCAGCCATCGAGCAAGGAGACCTGCAAAAGAGGTCTCAGGGCTCGGGGGTTGGTTCGGGGTTTGAGGGCCTCGGGGTTTGGAGTTTAGAGCTTGCGGTTTTGGCTTGGAGTTTGAGATAGAGCTCCTCCTCCAGATCATCATCACACTGAGATAGAGATGACAGGATTCCTCCTTCTGAGAAAGATGAGGGGATCGGTGCTGGCCTAGGACCTAGGAATCCAAACTTAAACCACACAACGGGGTTGAGTGCGTGGCATGATAGTCCTACACGCCAACAACAGATTCCGACTCCGACCCAGGGTCGCGGCCCTACTGAGCAACCTTCTTGCCCACAAGTCGGGCCTGCTCACGGATGATACCACGGTCACTTCACAAGACTTATAGTCCAATGGTACAAGTGTGCAGCTTTCATTCCTTGGCTTGTCTAGCCCGGGGTTGTTCTCAGATACGCTTCCCTTCACGGCTGAGGGAGTTTAGAAGATTTGGTAGCTGTGAACGTACATCCAACAACTTGGGAGCTCGATGCATTGACACGCCAACTCTAGCAACTGAAAATGCTTTGGCAAAGCATTTTACATGCACACAGGATGTGGGTGTCCCTCGAGACAAGTAACCTCTTGTGCTCGGCATGCAGGGCCCCTGCCGTAGGGTGCACAAAATGGAAACATAATCCGCATTGTGGACGAGAAGAGCACTTTTTTTGAATTCGACCGTAGACCTTTCCAAGAGTTTTCAGAATATCCGAGTACCCGCCTACACTCAAGCTGGGCCTCTGCCAAAGCATCCAATATGAACAGACACCTGAACACGCTGGACCTGTTTGGTGCAAAAACAAGACGAGGTAAGCTCATGGTAGCGGAGCTTCAGAACGAGGAGGGCTCCTGTCACAGATGTAGCAAACTCGGTGGTACACGCTCCCAGTAACTAATGCACTCTCGCAGAAACCCTTCAAAAACATAGATGGGCTAGTCTGCACTTGCAAGCTTCCGAAGCTGGCAAGTTGTTTTGCCTAAAAGGGCCCTAGGTAAGGTGTTGCCCTGCCTCCCTAAACCCTAAACCCTTCGAGGCCTGACCCCCCTGGATCAGAAGCCGCCCTTCGCCACCCAGCAGAAGCATCCTCACTGTGATGGGCTTTTGGCAAACCAAGGAGCCCCTGGGAAGGGGATAGTAAGCCCTTTAAAGGCGACAACTGGAGCGTTGGCTTAACTTTACGGGTAGAATATGTTGCGTCAGTCTTAGCCATGCTGACTGAGTCGCAAAGAAACTTTGATCCCCGAGAATTGTTCGCGGTGCAGGCGCTTGACATGACTTTGCCCAGAATCTTGAGGGGATTGTATGGTCGTTAGCCCAATTTGCAACTCGGTTATCCAGCCTTGTAAAGCTCCCACTAGCTGCCGTCCCCAGAGAAGTTCATGGTCCGAAATCCTTGAAAATCAAAAAAAGTTGTTTCAGCCTTGCCTGTCTAAACTCTCACGTAGAATTGCTGCTTCAAACACGCCAAATTCTAGCCCTCTTAAGCCGGAGACTAGACCCACAGCCTCTTCAACCCTGACTCTCAGCCCGGACCCGAAAACCTCAATGCAAAACCTCTCGAAACCCGAAGCCCCAAACCCCTAACTGAGTGCAATGCGGTAGCGCCCCGATGGGGGAGACAAGCTTGAGCCGGTAGGTGGATTCCATCTGCACAGTTCAGTCTTCAATAGCAAAAAATGAGGATGAGGGATAGTGATTATTCAAGGGGGCTCAGTATACGACATCATTTAGATATTGGGTCCAACAGTGGAGCATCAAATATAGCAAATGAACAATTAAATGGAAAATGAGATACGTTAGATAGAAGATTTCCCAGGAATAGTGCAATTGGAAAATACAATATCATAATAGCGTATATGTTGAGGTTAAACAGGGGCTATATAGGGATTGTTGCCCAAAATAACGGAAAATCAACAACAGGAAACATGGAAAATGCACTGGAAACTAGGATCATATGTGGACTAGGCTGTGAAAGTTCAGGTGCAAGGTTTCAGTTCGAGGGCACCTCCCTTTGAGGTGTCCAGTTTGAAGGTTAAGATCACGTTCGGGCTTAGAGCTTCAGAATGGTGAATGAAGAGCGATCTTTTCTGCAGACGGTCTTAGCTCAAAGAAAGGAGGTCTTTGTTTTTCCGTGGGCAGAGACTGAACTTAGCAATTCAGAAAGGGTCAACCGTGATTTGCTGAGCTTGGCTGCCTGGCTATCCATCGATGGATCTTATGCATCATCTTTGGACAACCGGCTTCTACCTCCAAATGATGATCTCTGATGGCCCATATCCTGATTCAAGATTGTCTTCCGCCAAGAGGGCCCCCTCTGGGACAAACAGGGCTCCTTCAAACAGAGTCCCCTCCTCGGAGGCAACATACAACCTCCTACAAGCCCGTTATGAAAGTAAAGAAGTCTGCAGAAGACCCTTTCTCAGGGGTCTATTGTGGGGGGAAACATGGAATCCCAACTCAAACGCAGACCCCGAATCTGGTAAACTTTCTACCGTAAACCCAAACAACAACGTCTGCGCGCTCTGCAGAGACACAATCTACGGCGCTCTTTCTCAATGCGTTTTGCACCATACAAAACCTATCTACAGATGCCTAAATCAGCCGTCAATCCGAATAAATCTCTAGAGCACCTTAATTGCAGAACACCTGGCACAAAGCCTCTGACACCATGGAATCCTACAAAAACCAAGAAAGCACTACGTCTCGCACAAGCTTGCTCAAGAGTGTATGGCTGACAGTTTGTAGAGGAGTCGTAAGGTGGCCTGGCCGAGCTCCTGGAAGATGACCCATTCCTTGGTGCAGTAAGCATGACCACGGCTGCTGCAGTCAGTACAACTACTGCGTACTGCAACTGTGATGACAGAAAAGAGTGATAGAATCCAAAAGGCGTTAAAATCCGCAACGTAAACCACTTGCTCAACGTGATAACCCAGTAAACCATGGTATAGGTCCGTGCTGAAGGTCTTCTTGCCCGGCAGCAGCATATAACCTACATGTCCCACAACCATAATAAACGCCAAACCCTAAATCCTATGCAACGGAGGGCCAGCCCTGAAAAAGATAGAACAGGCTATTCTAAAGGCCGTGCGTCATTTGGCTGCTCTGGCATGAATGCAGATGAACCGTGCGCCCGCGCCTCTGACAAGCATGGAGGCAAAGGCGGGCGACTTACTCCGCAATCAGGAGTCCGGTTTGGGACGGATCAGGAAAGGGCTCCATGTTCAGCTCAGACAGAGTCCTGAGGTTCCTACAACAGATATCGAAGATCTAAACGCAGTACATGGACTTCATCCTCCACTGTAAACTTTGACCCTCAATCCCCCGCATTAGGTCGCTCTGAGTGGGCGTTCTGCAAGAGATGAACTCCTGAAAAAATCAGCGCGCAGCTGCTTAAAAAATTAGAAAGCGGCTGCCGTCAGGTGAAAGAAGACCA